GTCATAACAAATATTGAGTAAAGTTCCAAGCCAAAAATAACCATCTAGGCACAGTTTGTTAGCCCATTACGTCCTTTTTGCCGGGCACGATTAAATTTCGTAATAATTAATCGTGACACCAAACTTAATTGATATTTATTCTAACATTCCTTAGATTTTATGAAGGGTTATAAAAATATAGTATAATTGCTTTAATCCGTTATAGAATTCTCTTGTTACAATGGCCTCTGAATATCAAGCAGCCTTTTGGCAACAGGTTGATACCGAAATAAAACCAAAGAATGTTCTACACATTTTATTTTATGTTGTTCTTCCGAAGTTAATAGCTTTCGGTCGAGTTGAGAGTCCGAGATGAGTTTAACGAGTTTTCAATGTGACCTTTGTTTCGATTTTTGTTATGTTTGCGTTTCTTCTCAACGGTGACAACCTTGAACATTTGGCAGTTTCTGCTAATAAATTACTTATGTTTGTAACAGCACAAGAACTGTACTTGTAGGAATGTCAAAACGTGTCAATAGTAAAGTTATCCTTATTTTTTTTCTAGTAAAGACAGTAACACTTATCTACTTTCTTATTTAATTAATTTGCTATAACTGTGCTTTCCGCCGTTTTCCGTGGGAGAGCCATGCTCTGGCATGTTTGATCCCACTTGACCAGTGTGATAATACAGCCTGACAGAAAAGTGGTGTTAAGCATTTCTTTCGTTGGTTTTCACCGACTGACTGAGGTTCTCTAAGGAAATAAATACTCAAAAGCGAGTCATGGGTAGTCGTTATCCCAAATATATAAGTATATATTTACTTATGTATGGAACGAAGAAAGGGAGTCGGCTAAAAAGCTTGTATTTCTGATAGAGTTTATATTTTAGAGTCAATTGAGTTCATTTAAGTTGGCTGGGTACATAAGGCGTTGTTGGCACTGGTAGTGTTATGTGAACTCGTATCAACTTATCATTGGGCAAATCGTGTCCTAATTTGCCAATTACGCTGAATACAAAACTAGTTTTTGAAGTAATTAAAAAAGTGTAAATAAAATACTTTCCTCCGAGTCCCAGTTGCCAAGCAAAGGCCAGATCACAAGCTGTTAATTTGTTAAAATAAGTGAACTTATAGAAATGTAATTCGTTCAAGTGGGGATCGTCTCCGTTTAAGTATGTTACCGGTTCGTCTAAAGAGCATTGCGTAAGCGGCGATTTCGTCAGCGTGGCCGGCGGATATAGCACGGGGCCGTCTTTCGTAGCCCACACCTACACGAAACTATTTGGACAACACAGCCTGCATACACCACTTGTGAAGTGCTTAAACAAACGGACCGCGGGCACGGTACATAATGGCCGGATCACGTTATCAGTTGACACTGCCATTAGAATGTGGATAACCAATCAGTTTTAGTGCCAAGTTATAATACTCTAGCTTGTGACTTTATCAGTTTACAAAAAAAATAAAAACTGTAAATGAAGTATTTATATCTTATTTACTTGTTAAGTAATGTGTATTTTACTTATTCAGTTGTACTGCAATTACTATAATTTTTATTTTTTATTTTTAAGGATGACTATTAAAGCTATCAATACCGACGACTAAAATTGTCCTGTAACTAACATGTACTGTAAATTTCTATGTATAATTGTTTTGGAAATAAATTTTTATTTTTATTTTTTTATATTTTATTATCAAGTAGTTTATTACATGTATTAGTAGACAACCGCAATCTAAGACGTTTTTTCTAACATAATAGGTACTATATTTACTTATTGCCTACGCCATCTTTGAATGCTGTTCCGAGATATATGAATATTGTTTAATCATGTCTTGTGTCATCAGTCGAGGTCTTTGAATGATCTCATACTTTTGAGACCTTCTCATATTATTGAAAGTCAATTGACTTTATTCCATCACAAGAATTGTCGATGGCGACTCACACATCACCAGTAGCGGTAGGATGAATAAGTAATTGATACTGGTTGCACGCAGCTACGTCAAGTAATTGCTTTGTTATGGTCGAAAGATTTGCAAGGATAAGGCTTGCAAGATTTGCAATGACGTAATGTTGGAGATACATTATTAATTAGAATTCTATAATTATTTGTTCGCCAACAAGAACTCTTAATTATGATGATTAAAAACGTTCATATGTTGTAGATAATTTAAGTCGAACTTCTTAACGCCGAGCAGTTCAATTAATATTATGCTAATATATTTTTGGTATTATTTATTTATTAAATATGGCTTAAGCGTGTGGTTAAAATATGCATGTGATAGTACTTTATAAGTAAGCTTTGAGTGTTTACAACTTAGGGTGATGAAAAGACTATCACAAATTATTCAATGATTTTGTTGTGATTAAATTCGTAATAATAAAAACATGAATATTTATTTGAAATCATCTAAAAGAAAGTGTCTCTAAAAATAAGTTTGGTATCCAAGGAGAATATTGGCAACGTAAAGGGTAAACGTGGGTACAAAGTTCCAGGAATGCTGGCCGAGCGTTGCGGTGGCCCGCACTTCGCTTGTGAACATAGCGCCGAGACGTGCTCTCCTCTACGTTTCCCTCCAACAATGGAATGGAATTGAACGAACACAAGCACACTTATAACAAAACATACACTATCTGAAAGACGCTGCTAATATTAAATGCATATTTGCCGACCAGCGTCTCAACTTTTTTCGTTCCATCCATTTCTTGTGAGATTATTGAGCAAGTCGTAGTACCATGTACTTACAGGTTTTTTCGAGTACAATAATTTTGACTGAATTCAAGTATTTAGTATAACTCATGTTGAATAATAAGTAAAACCAGTTAAAACAGTGACATCATCATCATGTGCTATAAAAGGCCGTGTCCTTTGCAGATTATAAATGTCTAAACGCCACTTTAATTACACTGTAATGTTAAATACATCTTATGTTTTGTAAAAACATAATAATGTCAAGTGAAATAAATGGATAAGAAGTTGCAACAGATTAGGTATCTGAGGATTAGGATCAAGCAACAGCATAGCCTGTACAACAATCGTATACAATTTATATTTTTCAGTTTTGGTTACACTTAAATATCTTATATTGCGTTAACCATATCACAGTTGGTACGTTTATTATTTAGATTGAAGTTCAGGAAGCGCTACTTGTTACTCGTATCTTACTCGTTAATAATATGATCAAATTATATGTACATAATATCTTCTCTGTGCAATCGTGATGCAAAACAAGGTTATAGATCCTTGGCCGCGGTTGGTTCAATAAGCAATTTTACTAAAGAAATAATTGAGAGTATTTTCTGTCAATTTAAGATAAAAAATCAATTAATCAGTTATTGGCCCAGACTTTTCTTTCTTCTTTTCGTTGAAAACCTTCGTGAAAATGAGATACAGTGTATGTTTTGGACTTAATAAGGCCATAGCCGGCAGGCCCGTGAAGCAATTTAAGAGTTTCTCCTCCTTTCTAAGGAGAGGCCTATGTCCAGCAGTGTACTTTAAAGGGTATTAACTAATATTATATATATATTAAATTAATATGAACGTTTAGTTTCTAGTTGTCATTCTGAACCTTGCACCACGGGTATTTTCATTGTTTTGTTTTGTTTTCGCTAAATTCTTGCTATCATCATTATGTCGATCTGTCGAAATATCTGTCTGTCGACCGATTACCGACCGGCTTATAGCGACCACTTTCATGAGGCCTCTTTACACCTCAAATATAGGTATGCTGAGGGGTTTTTATTTACATGAATAGCAAACGGTTGATCTTTGAAATTGCAAAATAATATACTTTAATAGTAAAGACTTACATAGTCTTACTTGATGGTAAGATAGTATGTAGCGTCCATTGTTCATTTTAAGGTTTTGTAACAATGCACGCCACGGATGAATTCATGCGGCCTACCCATCTGCTTTGTTTGTGCAATGTTTTCGTAGATGACTTTATATTTGGAATTTACATATATTTAATGCTTATTATAAGAAATTATATAAAGTTCTCATCTGTACTATAATATTATAAACAGGTAAAGTTTGTGAGTTTGTGTGTTCGGGGTAATCGCCGGTACTACTGATCCGATTTTGAAAATTATTTTACTGTTAGAAATTATATTATCCTATATATAAGTGCTACATTTGTAGACTACTTATTAAAGCGATAACCGACATATACACGGGCGAAGCCGCGGGCACAAGCTAGTATCATCTATATATTTAATCGAAAAGAAATGAATGACGTAAAAGACGAGAACAACTGACTTCAATACGTACGTAATAAGTAAACTGCTACTAACTTGCATCGTCGGGTTTTCTGCACTTAAGGGTGAATATTTTTATATTGGTTAATTGTAATTAGTTAATTATATTAGATTTATCTGGGTTGATCAGATAATTCTAATATAATTAACTTAAATAACTATAATTAACATACTCATGCACATTAAATGTATCCGATGTAAAATTTGGCACACTTCCAATGTTTTTATTTACATAAATATATTTTCAAAATCCAAAAATGGCTACAAATTGTCCAGTACCTATCTACATAGAAATTCTATAAAATCATCCATTAAGTTATACTAGTCTACAAGTTATACTACACTTAAACATTTTTAAGTTCTTGCATTATGGTCTATATTCGACCAGTGGGTCTCTGGTTAGAACGACACAAACAATCGATTTTAATAAACAGTGATTATAATGGAGTTAAAGTTTAATTGCACTATTATTTATTTAATACTACTATAGAATTAAGTTGTTTAATAAAATACAATTTATTGGCCGTACCGTTGTTAATCAGTTTAAAGGATTGGAATCTCTAAATTGTGAGTATTAATATTAAATGATGTTATCCTTTTTAATGGAAGGATATGGTATGCTCATAAATTTATATTTTTTATCTGAAACTTGATCATTAAAGAAATTCTAAGATTTATAGAAGTGAGAGAGCTATAAACAGGTACAACTTTTTGCAATGCAATTTTATATCTATTATATGCTAACATAAACACATATTTATACAACCCTAGAGTTCAATGTCTTTTAAATTAGTTGTTCGTTTTCTATTCGATAGGTGCTGTAACCTCTTAAATATAAGAATGTTGACTACGATGTCCTTGCCATCTAGACCTAAGTTGTTGTCCGCTACGGTCTGTGGATCAACAAAATGGCGGATGGGGTCATCGGGGATTCGTGGGAGGGACGGGGGTGTTCGGGACAGGTCCGGCTCGGCGTCGTCCGGCCCTGAGTCTGTCCTGAGCTCTATTTTTAGCGCTGTGTCACCGTTCGTGTGCACTCGCGCCCTGCTCGCCCATGCGCATAAAGCCTTGCCTACAGCGGTTTTTGAAGAATTAACATTTTAATATGATGCATCTTAAAAATGAACTGCCAGTGCCTTTAACTTGTTAATTACTTATTAGGTACGATCACGCTTTTTCGTTGCAATAAGTTTATGAGTTGCGAACTACGTTTACTACGCTTATCTATCAGTGTTTGTACACAAAAACATTGCTTAATATGAAAATTAGCATTTCTTACGGACATTCGTTAACATTTTCCACGGCTTTCACAAGGCACATCGACTATAAGTAGCATCAAGCACATGTCGTTTTTTTATTCAAATCACGTAGCGTGCTATGTAACAGTAAGTCGACAGTCATGATGTCATCGGCATGTGATGGACTGTGCCCTTTTGTGAGCTCAGTGTTGTGTCAGTACTTATATGTTCGTATGCATGAACTGGTACTACATCACATATAGCAGTGCGTAAGCGTTATTGAAGTCTAAAGTAGTCAGCTGGGCGCTCAGCTCGTTACCAACTATTTATCAATTTGTTACGTACATTACGTTTCCAACACAAGAATATTATAGCTCTGTTGTCATTTAACTCCGTTATAAAAGGTTCAACGTCGAGTTGTATTACGAATTTATTATACTTCTTTGACATTTTATGAAAAGATTTTATATAATATCTTAAGGTAATTATTGGTATAGTAACGTAAAACGTTGACTAAACTACCCAATTTAAAGTGTTGTTTATGTAGGTTTAAAAAAACGGGACTGACTGTGATATTAGTGATGATATTTAAAATTAGTCTCGTAGACGCTGCGCAATGACATACTGAAGTAACAGTATATCGGTCGTCGATTGCTTATGACGAATTGTTTGTCAAGGCTTTCTATTGCGGGTTTAGTTAAACACCTACACGAACACGGAGCTTTAGGTGACGCCAGGCGATTGCTGCCACTTGACTGCCATTCTCATTAACCCACGCGGGCGCCGAGGATTCTGCCCACGGCCCTCAGCATCTTACACAATGTTAATATATTTTTTGCAATATATTCAAAATTAAAGTTCTCTATCAAATGGTACATATGACTTTAATTAGTATTCCGATACTCGTTATGTGTGCTTTACGTTTATGACTATTTTACACGAACGTTTTGAAGTTATTGGTAAAGAACAGCGAGAAGTCACGCAATTGCGATACGTTGATGATGCCAGACAGAATTTATAAATTTAAAGAGAACTGAATTAAGCAGGATATTACATTTAGGATTTTAACCTTACATTGAATACCTACTTAAAGTCATTAAATCAATGTTCACTCATTTCTTTATACAAAACACTGAGAAATGCAAAAGTAAACTATTTAACCAAAAGATAAAGTACATACAAGAATCAAAGGCGATTCGGTGCAGTCCATTATGAAAGATAAACGTTGGCAACAATTTTGCGGCTTTGCGATATTGTGTAGCACATTGTAGCCCTATAAAAGTTGGTCGTGAAAATGTTTAATAGGAGGACCAGTAAAACCGTTTTATATAAACAAACATCTATATAAAACGGCATTTGAAGCGTTCAAGATGTTATGCAACCCAAAGTATTTTGATGTGCTTTCGAATGAAGTTAATATATACAACTATACTTTAATGCGGAATTGAAGAAAATGTTTAATTATGAATACTTTTTTATTTATCTTTATAACCATCCGTCCATTACAAAATGTGAGAGAAATAAGGTATTTCAGAGAATTTGGGTAAAAACCTGTTTGGTTTTTAAATGATCATTAAATGATATACTACCGTGCAGGTATTCCTCATCATCATCATCACCATCATGATTGATGATGATGAGATACGTACCTAAGGGAATACTTAGAGAGGCGTTCAGCATGAGACATATGCATATTTAGGTGTCCCGGAATTGACCCGCAAAAATAACTTGGAAAGTTGTAACTCCTTTAGTTAATAGGATCATAAAAATGTGCAAGAATGAGGAGAATAATTCCAATGAACCTGAGATTGTGTAGGAATGTGCTTTAGCTTTATAACGAGAATAATAATATAAGTACGTGTAATCAGCTTGCTGCTATCATCTTCCAATTATTAAAATAAGATAAATGTGCACAGGATAAAGCATGTTGACTGTTCACACCGTTTTGAAGATGTTAAACTTTTTTGCACAGTTACAGTTAAAGTTTTATAGAAATGGGGAACAATGAGTATTTATTACATATTTATTTCAATATTCAAACACAATAACACACTCATCAGTATGGGCATGTGACGGAAACCACGATTGCAAATGAATAGGTACGTTTGGAATAACATGTACCTACTGAGTATTACTTGTTAAATACTTTTTTTGGATTTTGTAAACATCCAAAATCTGAAATACTCGGTATTAAATACTAACATTTTCAAACCATAAAATGACTCAGTTTTAACATCCATGTTCGATGAGGATGAAGATTTTTTCTATTGAATGGCGCTTCGGCTATTTTGTGCAAAGAAAACCGCAGTCTGGTCACGTGAAGTTTCGCCGCACCTATTACGTTATTGCATTTACGTCACTTAGCCTTTCTACGAATACAGCAATGTATTCATAGCAGGATCATCTTTTTCATTAGTCCATACATATACAATTACTTGCCCTGACTGACTGACCTATTCATCAACGCCGAGCCTAAACCGCTGGGGCTACAAACTTACAATTTTGGCAGCTGATGCTTTTTATGTTGTAAGCACCCTCTAAGAAAGGTTTTTTGGAAATTTTACCCCTAAGGGGGTAAAATAAGGGGTGCATTGTTGTATGGAAGTTCGTTGTTTTCAAAGTTAGAAACACAAAATAAGAAATAACAATAGCAATAGCTAGTTTCTTATAACTTATTTTATTATAAATCCGTCGTTAAAACACAGAAAACGATTATTACCTAATCTAGTTTTAGCTAAGAACGTTATTATACTCGTAGATTAGACAAAATACTAAATGCCCATTACGTCGTACATTGTTGATTTAATTTAAGTTAGTAATTTGACAAGTTTGTACCAAATACATATTGTATTTATTTAAACCTAAGAATTACTTTTGTTATTCAATAATTGAAATATTCTCCATTAACCATACTCTAATTCTGAGTCCCTTATCATCTTCTCATCTATTAAACTTAAAGAGTGAATACTCTAAAAGCATGTATTTTTATAAGACGTTAATAATTAATAACTCATACTTATGACTATGTCGTTCTTAATTTAGATTTATACTCTATTTTTTGTTAATAAAAACATTCTCCATTATAGTCTGAAAGATATTAATGAAATGGAATTGCCTTTTTAAGTTATTATTGCCACTATAATGGTACATTTAATTTTATGGATAAATTAATTTTCTGTAGAGTGTCGGTTCCTAGGTAAAGTATTTTGGGTATAAATTAATGTTGAGTCACATGTCTTCTATGTGTATTTCCTTTAATGTTTAATCAACCAGACTCATATACAAGTTTCCTATTTCATATACAATACACCTCCATATATTAAAATGAATCAGAGGTTCTTTAGCGCTTTTAGCAAATATAGAATAGTCCGGTTTGTAATTTTTAAGACGTTTAATAGGTGAAAAGTCGCTTGCCTTGATATTTCGGTGTTAATTTTTTTAAATGTCACAGACTGACGAGGTGCGAGCGCAGGCAGCATGTTGGTGCTGTCGCAGGATTTGGACTCTCGCCGTGTATTGCGACACATGGAGAAAGCCGCAAACGTCTGGCGAAATCACACCCACAGCACATGTGCCAAATCTTTTAGAGAACCCCTCTCTACTTATATGGCAAGTTAAACAGACGAGTCAGTAAAAGTTGTTTTATTAAAACAAAGTTTATTTATATGTATCAAGGCGACATCGACTTTAATATTAAGAGTAAATTACATAAACATAATAACGTACTTCATTTTAAGTAACAAGTACAAGCTTCGATTTATTATTTAAAGAACGTCCTTTCAATGACAACGTTTTAAATTAGGTATCACAGCTATTATTGGCAGAATTAATGTATTTGAAATTAATATTAAATCAGCTATCTCATGATTTCATTATATTTATCTCATTTGTGTAAAGTGTGTAAATAATTTGAACAAATCAGCAGTATGTAGGCAATTTTCTGTAATGTGTGGATATTGCGGTATTTTACAAATGACATGGCATAACGTTACGTGTGCGATGGCCACGTATGCGGTGCAACCTTGTGCGATGGCGGACTACGATTGCGATGGCGAGCCGACCATGACACTGACGCGGGTTATGATAATGACGACTTGTACATGAACTATTGTCGAGTTTCGGTGTAAATATGTAGCTAGAAGTGGGCCCTCTGGGTGTGAGTACCTAGACGACCGTTATCCGGTCACCGCTACACCGCACAGCACTGCCACGAAGAAAATGTCATCTACAACATTCAAGCCTTTAGGACTTAGAAATAAGAAAATTTTGCACTAAGCGTAGAACCGAACATAATTGTCGACATGGCTATTGAGGCTATTATACCAAACTGTTTGTTAGTTATAAAATAATGACAATGACATCTAAAGACAATGTTGTTTAAGCAATCCAATATAATTATGTATAATTTTGTTGAGAACCGCTAAACAACAAATGTATTAGCAATCATTAATTAAACAACAAATGTATTATACATAGATCACAACATAATTAACTTGGTTTTTCTTAAGGATATAAGCAGAGGTGCGTGACTATGCACATAATCTAAAGCAAAATTATGTATACATAATCAACGAAAATTCTATTTTTCAAAATGCCTAAAAGGTGGAAAATAGGAGAAGCAAAAAAATCCATTTTACGTAATGCAACGAAAACCTAATGCTATCCAATTTAGGTACAATATTTAGGCGGAGGAAAAATATGTATATACTATTTGAGCACGCTTAAGTTATAGCATCACTATAAAGTAGGTAACTAACATTGTTGACTTTGTTATTTAGGTATTGAATTTTGTATATACATGTAATTTGAATAAAAATGTAATGCTCTCATGAGGGAGCCAGGAGTTGCATAGTAAAAACCTTCAGAGTATCTTAAAGTTTGGGCTCCTATGACTTATTTTATGGAGTTTTCACAGGTTAAGCTTAGTAATGTTAATGATAGTAGTGATAACTTCGTTCGATATAAAAAACTTTCCTGAACTATAAATTTATTATTACTCTTACTTTTTCAAAATTATTGAGTTGAATCAAATATAATAGTAATAATTTTACACATTTCACACAAACGTCCTATTATGTTTACCTAGTTACAAGTTATTTAAGTGCATAGCGAAGAAGCGAAGAAGATTAAAAATTTTAACAGTGCAAATGAAGCCGTATTCCGTAATTCCGTAACCCGTATATTGTCATAGAAAAAACTACTAGAAAAGGAAGGCGTTAGATTAGTCAAAGGCTATAATCATAAAGATAATAACAATACAGACAATGAACCTCAATAGTCAACTCAGATACAACATGCAACTCAATAGCCACTCCACGGTTGCAGTAATTTGTTCCAAGTCATTAAGACTAGAGTAGTTTTTCATTTTATATATTTCTTTTTAGAATATTGTATCAATATGTTATGTTAGTTAGTTGTGGGTTACGTAAAGTTTACTAACACAAAACAAAATAATGTATTTTTATTCTAATTTGCGAGAAAAACTTTACATAAATAGTTGTATCTTGAAATGATACACAAATATTTGTGATCAGCATTTTTATTGTTGCATACTGTTTTCCTAAATTTGGACTAATCCCACCCACACGCCCACCACTTTAACTCCTGTACACCAGGATCCACAGCAGTGACCCACGAACACACCGAGTTATGACACTGGGGAAGTCCCAGGAAGAAATTAAACTGTCTTGGAACCCGCAACGAAATTAATCAGAAGAAAATTGGAGGAGTTGGAAATACAGTAAATCCACTTCCCTCCTTAGCAAAGCGGGAGACAAAATGAAGTAAAATGGGCATACACCCTTTTAAACAG